ACCTAATTTTATTGATTATGGTCTTTTTTCACATTTGAAAATGTGCTATTGGGAGGTAGGACCACATTCTTAGAGCCTGATGACCTGGATTTGAATTGTCAGCTCTACTGTAGGAGCCTTGGCAAGTTTTCAGTTACCACGATCCTTATTTTCCTCTTTTGTAAATGGGTGGTTAGACCTACTTCTTAAATTGGTTTGAGAATAAGATGAGGACAGCACAGTGGCCTGATACATCCTCTCTCCCCACCTCCAGCTTTTCAGCTGTTACATTATTATCTGTAGGAGCAAATAAGTTAGCGAAGTGAATAACCCAGCTGACTTAAGACTCTTTTCAGATATTCCTGTTGAAAGAGCTAATGGAGAGCAGAATCTATATAAACAACACAGTCTGTCGGGAAACAGCCTGACCCGTGTATGTATAGTTGTCCTTTGTGCGTATTCCTCCAGTCAGGCTTAGAATAACAGATTCACATGGACTTAGGAGAGCACAAGAATTATTAATTTGAGACTAGAGTAAAAACCGTTGGATGACTTGGTAAAAGTAAATTCATTTGGACAATATTTTATAAAGCTTAATATGCATCAGAGATTAGGTTTACAGATTTTGGTTCAGTAAATATCGTCTGGACCAAAGGGACTTGGGGTCATTTTGATCTTGTAGGATATGATAAGTGGTAAACGTTTAAACCAATAAATAGAAAAAAAACACGTAACGGTCAACTTTATGCACTCATCTCGATACTGTTTTTTCACTAATCCAGATAAATTCGATAAGCGAAGTTGACTGAAAATGATCACTCTGTAGTGTGTATATACCAGCTCAAAACCTAAAATCAGTCCTTCATTTTCTGTAGTCTGAGCAAAGACAGTATCATAGACCCTTCAAAGTCATGCAGTTCTTTGTATAACACAAGATATATGGAAATGAAGTTACAAAAGATAAATTAGTGGATGTTGCTTTGGATTAGAAAACAAAAAGGATTTACTTTAAGAATCCTTCATCACAAGGTTCTTTGATACATTTTAAATATTATTTGATTTCTACAAAACAAATTTTCACTTAGTTTTTCAGTAAGACACATATCATATAAAATAAAATTTATAAATGTTTGGGAGAACAGAGGAAGGAACTAGAGTTTTCTAAGTCCTAAATGCCAAGGCACTCTCTTGCTTTAAGATCACCGACTTTAATAGAAAGGTAAATAATCAACTGGATTTTTAAAAACCCAAATTTTACCCTCAGATTTATAAATATTAAATATAAGCAGTCTCCTCTCACAGTAAAATAATGCCAGCCACCAGAGACCTCTAACAATAACCAATCACCACCCTGGTATTTTTTACTTTTTAATTTTCAAATATTTTTTTCCTATTAGAGTTGTTGTGAAATGATGCACAGTTGCTTATTGTCAGTCTGCCTTCGTGGGTATGTCAGGGTTTTGAAAGCATTGATCCGGGACCCCTGCTCTTGGTACTTCTCTTGTTAGAAACAGAGTTGAGAAGGTAAGGTCTTTCTTACTGCCAGACCAACTCCTTTGGGTGCTTACTGCATAACCAACACATCAGGACCTGCTACTTTTTTTGTGTTACCAGATTGTTATACTATTTATTACCCAGAGTGATAAACTGTTAGGAGCTATGCCAGTGATAGCATGTACCACTCGAGAGATTTCTCACCTCCATCTTTCCTGAAACCCAGTATCTGCCAGTCCATTTCCTTTCCCTGGATGTGCCGCCATCTACTCAGCACATCTGATTTTTCTTTTTTCCAGCTTCCAGATAGTTCACACCAGCCCCTATTATTATGCTTTCAATGTCTTTACTTAGTTTGAATGTTTAGTTTGAGAGATGATAGCGGCTTTTTAGCCAGGAGCAGATAAAAAAAACAAATATATGTCTTACTCTCTTATACGGTGGTTTTATTTTAGAAAATATTTTTGCAAAAAGGTTTGGCTATTTCTTAGCAGTTTGGGAAGCCAGACTGATAAAATCAGGATTATGTCAGTTGTCTTAAATGTTAAATTTGAACAAACTTTCTTTCCTTTAAAAATATAATTTATATTAAAATCCGTATGGTTTTATGATTCTCTAACATTCAGGAGGGAGTAGGAATAGAGACTCGATAAAAAATGAGCTGATTAGTAAAATATTATTTGCCTATTAGCATGTTTTAGCATCTGTACATCAGTTTGGATAAATTGCGGTTCATTTTTTTTTATTAAAAGGAGAATAGAAAAAATTGTTCTCTGTTGAAACAAGTATAAGAATTCATGGCTCAAGAAGTACTCTTGCTGAAACAAATAAAAAAATTATCAAGGTCTTCCAAATGAGCTCTCAATTGAATATGTGTTCAGTTGAATATGTGTAAAATTTCTCACTGTGGATCTGTTTTATAACTACCCAAGCAATCTGAATTTAGACGGTCTTTGGTTTCTTTTCTTGTGCTTCTCGATTTTATGTCTGTACCTTGGGGCCAATAAGCATCCACTTCCTGTAAGTAACTGTGCTGCGTCCTTACAGATGATATGGTGTGTTAAGAAATCCATGGCTTGCTATACTTTTTGAACAAAAAGTTTTACTGGGAATGTGAGAGCCCAGAGTAGCACACAGAAAAATTTCATTTAGTCCGTGTGTTATACAGATAGAGGAGCTGAATTAGATTAGAAATAACTGAACAACATGTTAATTTTTTTTTTCATTCTGCTTAATATCTCTGGCTCTGAGCAGGCTTATATTAGTATAGTGGAGAAACTAACAGGCTCTGAATTTTGAGAATGATTCAGTTCTACCATTTATTAGCTGTGTGTCTTGGGCGAGTCTTCTTTGAGATTAATTAATGTGTCTTCATAGGGTGGTTATGAAGACAAAATGAGAAGGTTTATGTGAAATGTGGTTGTAAACCTCAAAACACTGCATAACTTTATTGTTTGCCACAGCCCACAGCTATTGCTGTTATTATAACCATGTTGGGTCAAATTCTGTGTTCTTCAACTCCAACTACGTAAACATTTCAGTTGTTTAAATAGGTGAGCATCGACAGGAAGGGAGGATGGGAACAGGGTGGTTAGGAAGATTATCGAATTTGAAAAAGATAGATTAGAAATAAAGATTTCAGACACAAATATATAAATGGAAAATATATGATCATGATTCCAGACACAGTCTCCTCTAGCAGGTTTTTACTTCCACCACCCCTACCCCTGGACATGGCAGTATAAAAATGAAGCAGACAAATAACCCAGCTGCTGTTGCTGCTGTTCCTCCTCCTCCTCCTCCGTGTTAAAGATCCTTTAATTTCAAATATGAGAAATCTTAAAATTCTCAGTTTAGTTGGTTCTTACTGTAGTAAGTCCTCAGATGCACAGAGCTAGGGTTCCAAGGTGATGGCTTCTATTCAAGTTGTTCACTTTAGATGAACTTAAACTGTTGAAAGAAAGTGGTTTGCTTCAAAAAATAAATGGCATATATCTGTGAGGCTCCCTGGAACCTAAAATTTTTTAAAGTCATTTATCAATTTGAAAATGTCTGGAAATTAAATGATGCTTGGATGTTTGCAAGGCCAACTTCTAATGAGGAAATTTACAAATGACATTTTGATTTACATTGTAAATAAAGTTTGGCATTTGATTTTAGACACACAAATATATTTATAATTAATTCTATATAAATTTGCTAACTGTGCAAAGCAATTTCTGAATTTAGAGAATTAAGAATACTCTGCAAGGAAACAAAATTAGAAAAACTGAAGATTAAAATTTGACTTAAAATGACAAAAAATTTTGAATAGCAAATAATTTATGCAAAATATGTTATAAAATATGTAATGTTAAGTAGAAATGTTACAAGTACTGTAACGTTAACTTTAATTTAAATCAGTAAGAGAGTTTGCCTCTTTCAACATTTTGTTTTTTTCTTTCTGACTTTGTATATTTTTAACAAAAATTTGCACTATATATTTTTTTAAAGTTGGTTCTTCAACTTCTGGAAGTTGCTCTTAAATTTGCCATGATAAAATGACACTTTTGTAGATATAATTTCTTTGGAAGAAATAAAAAAATTAAATGTTGGACATTGGTTTCACAAATTGTTTCTTCCTTGTTTTTGATTGTTTGACCCCTGTAAGATTGACATATTTTCAACCTATTTTTGATGTCATAATTATAAAATGACAACATAAGAAAGCACTTCTAGTGCAACAACATTGGAAACTTATAGTTTTATATTTAAAAACACACAAAAGAATGTGTGACTACCACAGATAAAATAGAAATATTTTCAAACAGTAACGTGTGTCAAGCAAATACCAGAAACAAGTTGATTATTTCAGCATCTCAAAGGTCAGGTATTCACAATTTGATTTGAATGAACTATGTAATACAATTTTATAATCAACATATGCTCTGGGGAGGTTTCAAATTACTCTGGGTTATTTGTCAGGTAGTCTGGAGGTGAATCTCATTATGATGGTGATATAAACCAGTTAGAACGTATTGGGATGCTCATAGTCTACTTGCATTTAGGTCAAGTTCTCCACCAAGGCTCAGATCTATGTTGAATGAGCTGTAGATGTTTAGGCTCCTTCCCCTGGAGAGAACTGATGTGGCACACAAAGATTAAAAATCCCTGTATTTTCTTTGAAATGTTCCCGAAAATATAGCCTCACATCGCTAAATGAGAAGTTGCCTTAAAAACCAGCCACATTTTGCCGTGCCTGATGATTCTTTTTAAGTAAACCACTTTGGGTTAAATAGGAGAAAAATTGCTACTGTACAGTTATCCACCTTGGCCTGAAAATAAGACGCGTAACAAGTTTTTGTTCGTCACTGACGGCTGCACCTTTTTAATGTATCAAAGACTGTTGCTGTGGTTACGGCCTTTGTTTCCAGTGATGTTTTGTCCATACTTCCCCTTCCACCCTTAACAATGGGTTACTCCAAAGAATGAAATAATGAGTCATTCATTCAGAAATATGTTGTTAAAATATCCCTCTTTATCATTACATTTCACTGCTTAGAAACTAGGCTGTAATTCAAGGCAACAGTTAAGTCTGTGAAGAAGAAGTGTTAAAAAAAATCTTTGATTTTTTTTTTCCATTTATAAGAAAAACCTGGCTATGTAATTGAAGAACTTCTTAACAAGTCTCAACAATTAAACCCTTTTTGGTTAATGTATTATTTCTGGAACAAGTAGATAAAATTCTACGCAGTAAGCATGATAAAAATCGTGCATGTTCCTCACAGCACAGAATTTTAGTCAAGGTTTCTGGGCACAAAAGCAGTAACAAAACAGTCCCTACAAAACGGAGTAACTCTGAATAACACAGGAAATAATTTCTTGTTAATTTAAAATTTTAGAAACGGAAATGTGTAAAGTTTGTAAAGTAAACTGTAATTAAATTATGGTACTGTCCATACCAGTCGTTTGTATAATTGAAATTTTACAATATGAAAAATACATTAGCTCTGTACAGTTTTTACAGATAGGTAGGATGAGTTTAGGAGGAAAAAGATTTTTTTTTTCTTTCAGGGAAATACTCTGTTTAAGTAAAAAAAAATACTGCACAACTTAGCTAATTACAAAGTATAGACTTGAAACAATTAATGTCTTCTTTATTTCATGAATCAATCTTGGATTTTTAACAGGGGATTTTTTTTTGTTTCGTTTTTAGAGTCCACACCGAACAAATCTTCCTCTTTTTGTCCTTGAGGTTACGGTTTGGTGGCCGCCCCCGGCCACCGTGTAGCGCGGTTAGGCCAGATGCTGCTTGTGGTCACTGATGCGGCCGGCCGTGATTGTGCTCAGGTCCAGCTCAGTCTCTAGGTGCGTTTCCATCGTATCTTCCTGTGCCGTCGTCTCAAAGGACTTATGGGAGAGAAGTTCATGGTGCACCCCACAGTAACTTATTGTGGGCTGGTCGTATGCCAGGAAGGTTGACACATTCATCGATAAAGGAATCTGGGGGAAAATGACACGAGAAAAGGCATTTATAAAAAGGTAGACGATTCTGGGGGCAAGATCTGAGGACTGTGAGAGTGCTCCCCTGACTGATCTCTCTCGTGATGTGGCTCAGGTGTCCCCATGCTCCCCCTCTAATGTCCCTTGTTCTTATCATCGTCAACACAGTGTGACACTATTAAAGTCTGGGGTGAAGCTGTCCAATTCTTATCTAGAACCTCCAGACAAATAGTAAGCTAAGTGTTTCTGAAAATGCTAAAATCTTCATTGGGAGAGTCAGAAAAGTGCTTTTCCTCACGGGGGTACAATTGTGGCTTTAGTCAGAACTAAGAAAACTATTACTTGGTTATGTGTGGAAAGCCAACCCCCTCCCTCCCTCTCCCCCACCCCCCAACCTCCATCCCATGAGTTTCTGTTCCAGTTGGTCAGAGGCGGAACCTGGAATTTGCATTTTTACAAATTCCCATGGGAGGCGGGCACTGGTAACCCACAAGCACACTTGAAAACCACAGCAGAAGAGAATTGTCTACGCAAGTCATTCTGGCTCCTCTTACGCAATAACTTTGTCTTCTCTCATTTGTCTTTATTGTTGAAAGTATTACAGATGCCCCCTTTGTTCTCCCTATGATCCTCCTCTGTCCCGCACCCCCTCTGTCCTTCCCTGCACTGTTATTGTCTGTGTCAGTAACTTCTTAAACATTTATTTCACCATGAGAATTCTGTGAAACAGTAATGTCTGTGGTTTGGTTCATATATCTAAAATTTAGGTTTAGAGAACTCCCAGGAAGAATCTGTGACTCCTATGAAGGTCTAAAAAGCATGAAAGGATGATGCTAGTTTGAAGGAACCAGTGGTGTACATCAGGAAGGGATCCCCTTGCTCACTGAAGTTTAGTGACAAATGCAAGATCTAAAGATAGCAGGAAAAGGGCCAGAGTGACAGAAGGAGACATACATGTTACAGACAAAGGGTAGTCTGAAATGTCAGATGTCAAAGTTTAGAGCTTATTCTCATGTTTTTCAATAAGACAGAAACTTGTCCTAAAACGCAGGCAGATTTGCAATTGAAAGTGATTCTTCGATTACATCTTAGTATCTAGAAAATCTGATGTATCAGTAAGTAGAATTTAACAGGTAACCATATTTGAATACATCATTATAATAGATTTTTCTACTCAGCCTTCATCTCTGTTTACTATCCTAATTACTAAATCATGATGTCTAATTGCCTTGGATAAAATCTCCTGCCGCTCTTGCTTTGTGAGTGGATGAAATATATTTCTGTTTAAGTACTTCAGACTATATTCCTTTCTGATTTCAGCTGAGATTAGAGCCCAAAAGTAAGTAAAATATAATGTATAGGTGTTATTCTTTTATTGATCATTTTCTCCATGTATAAGAAACCTCTTTGCCTCTTCTTATTCCATTCCTACTCTTCTACTCACATTTATTTTTTCTTCAATAAAAATTGGGTTAGCAAATACTTCTGTTTCTTCTTAAATAATAGCATTCACTTCTTTTGAGTTTGTTCATTTTTAATATGAACATTTTAATGTATCAGGTGTTCAGGGCTTAGTCCTTGGAGACAGAAATGTAGTTCAGTTCATCAAATTAAATTCCTGAGTAACTTTATTTTTATGTGGATTTTAAAATTTGAAGCATGCAGTTATCTGATATGTGAATAAAAGACATTATACACTTTAAAAAAATAATTAAGGTGATTGAAAGATCATAAAGAAAATAATAGGATGCTTCCAAAGGTGCTCATTTAACGTAAGAATTCCAAGTTTTACAGATGAAATAGCTCATGTAACTACAATGTGGTAATATGCAAAAGTAATTGTGTAGCATGAATAGATTTGAATTATAGGAGAGAATGAAAATAGACCTGTTATTGGGTACATCAGTTTTATATTAGCCTCTGGGAAATTGATGCTCTGTAATGTGTTATGGGTCATATATCTCTAGGATTTTGTATATTTGTTCTTATTTGCCATGAAAACTTATGGGTCATGTATACTACATCATTCCTGGCTTACTTAGAAATAACTCTAATGTGAGTAATTTGTGATCCCTATAGTAAGGATTAGGACAAATAATAAACCATAATATGTTTATTTCTATGTGTCTGTGTGTGCTCGCACACACAATTTACTGCTTGATTTAATATCTAGAGGCCACTGGTACCCAGAGTGCTAGTCCTAATTTGAACCATATCAGTTAAGCTGTTAGCTCTCATTATTTATTAAAATCTTCCACATAATTTCTTTAGAGAGTTTCCTTATTTTTGGATACGTCTTCTTTTAAAGCACCCAACCCTACGGTTATACTTTTTCAATGTCAAGTTGTGTTATTCTATTTCTAAAACTGGGATAGCATTTAAAATCAATGTGGATGTTTAACATGTATTTTCCCCCCTGCAATTGAAAGTGATTCTTAAGTTAGATTACATCTTAATATCAAGAAAATATGATGTATCAGTAAGTAGAATTTAATAGGTAACCGTATCTGAATACATTATAGTAGATTTTCCCCAGGTTGACTTAAATGATTTTGAAAATCTAAGTTAGCCCTGGATATACTCATATGTGTATTTATAGGAAATTCCGTACATATACACACAATACATAAATAAACACACATCTGTTCAATCTTGTAGCCAATTATGATTTTAAAATCATTTAAATCAGGTATGGAAAATGCAGATTTGGAGGATACATTAGTTCTAGTCAAGTGTTATATATTTGTTACTGTATGAGACATGCATGTAGATAGACTATACCATATATATAGTATGTATACTAGTCTATGCTGCCTGGGTGGTGTGGAGAGGCTACCCACTGGCATTAAACAAGCACCTCGAGGCTCAGATACAACCCACGTACATCCCTTCTCGTCACCGAGTCAGGAAATAAAGCAGCCCCTTCCCCTTCACATAACCATCAAGTGACTTTGTGCTCTTTGTGTTCTTTCCCCCTTTCCGGGCTGACCTTGGTGCACTCTATTCATTCTCTCTGTCTCTCTCTCCATTGGTACCTGCTTCATTTTCACGTGCTGAATCAGGAGCGTTACAGCGCCACGTTCTCCCCTGTGCAAAGGGGATGTAACAGGGCAGTCGGAGTGTATGCTTACTGCTCCATTTTGGACAATAAATCACTTAGTTAACTTACGTGAAGATGACCCCAATATGTTATTTCATAAAATGGAAGTGAACAGCAGCCCTAGGTGCTGGACCAGCTAGGAAGTATGGTTCCAGGAAGGGCAGTAGGAGGTTCAAATCTAATAAGACTCTGCTCCCCAGACCTGTGGTTAGCAGGCTCTGTTTCAGTGTCCATAGAATCTTCTCGTCATGGCTTTCAGCGAGAGAACAGTTTCTTTCGGTAAATGTTGACATAATGAACTATTTATAATTACTTATGGTTCCCTTCACTCCTGTAGGTCATTGTTTTCCAGGTGAGGTAATTTTTCATAACTTGTAGAGATCCAGGGATATGAAAACTTACTCCCCAGAAACCAATATCATCTAGAGTCTGAGCTAAGAAATCATTAGATGCTATTCTAATAATGAGAGGTAGTAGCCGAGCCATTATTTAGGAAACTCCCCTTAGGAAAAATTTTGACTCTGCCAAACTGCTTACTATGTTGACATCAATGGTACTTCCCTAAGCAGTACTTTTCCAGTGTCTATCTCAACCCTGACGATATGTACCTTTTACATATAAAAAATTTACCAAGTCAGGGGAATAACAGAACTCGTTATTAATGGTCTTCTTCCTATTCATATGTCATTTTGAGCTTGTGATTTTAAAGGAAAACAATGTTTTTTAAGTTTCCAATTTGTGATTAAGTAAAAATTCTCATTTTAAACTCTATTTACTGCATTAATATCTATGTATATTTGTACAATATATGTGTGCATATATGAACATATGTGCTGCTCCTATTCTAATTAGTTGGTTACAAGCAGTTTATATTTTTATTGAATTTATTGGGGTGACATAGGTTCACAAAACCATACAGGTTTCAAGTGTACAACTCAACAAACAGTCATCTGCCGACTGCATCATGTGCCCATCGCTCAAAGCAAAGTCTCATTATAAAAATAATTTAAATTAATTACTTAGAGAGTGAGGGGGAGGGAAGGAGAGAGATAAATCATCACTTTGTTGTTGTACTTATATATGCATTCACTGGTTGATTCTCGTCTGTGCCCTGACTGAGGATCAAACCCACAACCTTGTTGTATCAGGATGATGTTCTAACTGACTGAGCTACCCAGCTAGGGCTAAAGCAAAGTCTCTTTCCACCCCATTTATCATCTCTTTGCCCACTTCCACCTACTCCCAGCCCTCTTCCCTCTGGCTATCACCACCGTGTTGTCTGTGTTTATGTGATATATATATATATTAGAGGCCTGGTGCACGAAATTCGTTGCATATTACTCTTTTATTAGATAGGATATATATCCTTTCACCTTCTTTCACCCAGCCCCACAACACCCCTCCCCTCTGACAGCTGTCAGTCTGTTCCACATATCCATGCCTCTGTTTCTATTTTATTCGTTGGTTTATTTGGTCCATATATTCCACATAGAAGTGAGATCATATGGTATTTGTCTTTCTCTGACTGGCTTATTTCACTCAGGGTAATACTCTCCAGCTCCATCCAAGCTGTTGCACAAGGTAAGATTTCCTTTTTATTTTACAGTTGTGTCGTATTCCACTTTGTAAAATTTGTCTTTCTCTGACTGGCTTATTTCACTCAGGATAATACTCTCTAGCTCCATCCAAGCTGTCGCACAGGTAAGATTTCCTTTTTATTTTACAGTTGCATAGTATTCCACTGTGTAAATGTATCACAGCTTTTCTATCCACTCATCTACTGATGGGCACCTGGGCTCTTTCCAGATCTTGGCTGTTGGGTTACAAGCCACTTGTACATCTTTTCTGTTGGATAGCAAGGATTATCATAAGTGCAGTGCTCTGAGGAAGAGAAAATGGC